CAATAGCAGTCATATTATAATATATAAATGCATCAAATTAACATGTACACCTTAAATTTACACAATGTTATATGTCAACTGTTTCAATGAAAAAAATTAAAATGTCCAGTTTATGTATATCAGTTATTTCAAAAGTATGAAAAATAAAAGAGCAATTGTTAATAAATTACAAATTGGGGGGAAAAATTGGCCCTTCAGAGAGAATCCTGAGAGGAATTAAGACACCAAGACCCTGTTTCTCTAAAGTTCAGGTAAATTGCAGTGCTGAGATTGATCTTGCTAACACTAGATGTCACCATTGTGCTGTGCAAAAGTAGCTGACCCTCAGGAGTGCTGTTTATTACTCACCACAGGGTCAGGCTGTTCAAGTGTTAGAAGATTGTTCATCCTCATTCCACCCATGCTGGACTATGATTGCTGTGGCCTTATTAAAACTCCCTAAACGTTGATTTTTTTCTTGGTTATAATTCATTCTACATTCCTGTGCCCAGTACTGCTTGGGGCCAAGTTAGAAGGAGAGGAGGGTGCCAGCCTCCATGCTCTGTGCCGTGGTTCCCATCTCCAGGTCTCTGTCTGGGACCCGTGCTTGCATCTCTCTGGAGGCCTCTGGGGGCTAAATTTTAAGAATGGACTTACGATTCTGCAGACACCAAAGTGATTCAGATAAAGAATCAGTGGAAGTTGCTGGAATCAAGTGTCTTTAGTTCCAGTTGTTGCTTCCTCAACAAGATATTAGTCTTTAATTTTCCACAGCGGTTCTTTAATGAATACTAATAACCAGTACATTTTGTGATGTTTATTTATCAAAGATTCAAACCCAGGTGGCCTGGCTTCAGAGCCCGTGCTCTAACCATCACACAATATAGCCCTCCTTTTTCCACTGCTGTTTTGGGGTGGTTTTTGGTTGTTTTTTTTTCAGCTTCATTGTATGATTGATATACAATCAGCTTGTTGATTTCTACAAAAGGTCTTGCTGGGATTTGATTGGATTGCTTTGAATATATAGATCAATTTGGGGAGAACAACATTGAGTAGTTCAGTCAATGAACATAGTATCCATGTATTAGATATTTTTGCATTTCGCTTGTTATTTTTTAAAACTTTTCTTTTAACTCTCACCCAAGGATATGTTTACAGTATTGATTTTGAGAGAGAGAGAGAGAGAGAGAGAGAGAGAGAGAGAGAGAGAGAGTGTGAGTTTGGAAGGGAGAAACAGCAAAACATGGATCAGTTGCCTCCTGTATATGCCCTGACGGGGAATCAAACCTGCAACCTTTTGGTGTACTATTTATTCAATCTCAGATTTCCCCACTTGGCTTTCTCCTGTCTCCCTAATCTACCCTGCCCCCTCCCCCTTCTCTGATTCTAGTGTATAAAATAAGGTGCAAAACTGCCATTTCTCAATCCGTTGAGATTTTGCTTCCCGGCAAACTGTTCTGTTGTTGGTTTGGCTCAAGTAAACTCATAGGAATTCTTACAGATTTGGAAATTTCTTATGTCGGCAAATTATTGATAAGAATAACCTTGATAAGAATGACCCGTATTTTGAGATACTGCATCTACATCAACTGTAATGCGATGAAAATATCTGTGATTTTCTGACAAAAATCACAGGTACTACTGATACTACCGTGGTTTGTTGCCAACACGTAATGGAAGGAAATGCTGTTTCGGTTAGAGATGAGCGAAAAGGACCATAAACTTGCTCACCTACTCAAGGTCCCTGAGGGTCCCAGCTTAAGAAGCCCCGCGCTGGGAGCGGCGCCAGAGAACCACCGAGCTGCGCGCTCTGACATCCTAGAGAGGAAGCACGTGCGGCCTCGGCGGCGCGCTCGGGGTGACGCACTTCCGGTCACGCCGGCCTCGGCGCCTTATCGGAGGTGAGTGTTGGGTTTGTCACCTGGGAGTCCCTGCTAGGAGCGCTCCTTTCACCCTTAGAGAAGGCAGTCGCCTTTGCCCCTGCTGCCGCGGCGGAAGGAGTCGGAGGCGGCCTGCGAGCCAGGCCCGCTCGCCCCGGGTGCCCTCGCTCCCAGCGGCTTTGGGGAATGGAGGCTGTGGATGGAAGGAGACGCGCTGCGTGCCGGGCACAGCCACAGAGTCCCTCTGCGCATTGCGCGAACTAATGGTTGAGCAGCTAAATGCCCAGTCGCTGTTCGAGGTTGAGGTTCCTGGGATGCAGCTAGGAATAAGACGGGTGTGGGTCCCGGCCTCAGGGAGCTTTCAGTTTAATGGGAAGTTAGATAATAATCACCTCTGATCATCTCACCCCTCTGGTCCTAACCGCCTCGCTGCAGCCGGTTGCTTTTAGGTCGAAGACCAAGTCCTCAACGTGCACGAGGCCTGCGTGGCTTGGTCCCTTGCGCTGCTTCCCCTCGTGTTGCAGCACACTCCCCCTGGCTCAGCTGCACTTTCACTTCTAGGACGAGCTTTTGCACTTGCTGTCACTTTTGTAAAGATTTTCCTTTTAATCAAGCCAATTCCTGCTCAGTCTTATTTAGAATAGATTCTCCTGGGCACTAGTTACAAATGTGAACTTAAAGTTATTTATGATCATCTTGGATTAATATGTGTGTGCCCTTTAGCCCTAGACCAAGCCCAGCGAGGAAAGGGATCACCTTTTTTTCTCTCTCCACTGTCTCACACTTGGGCTGGAATGTATGCAGTAGATGTTTGTTGAACGAAGAAAGCACACGTCAGTGTGTCATCCCAAACATGGGCGACATGGTACACGGGAGGGAATGCAGTGCTAGTGGAGTGTGGAACAGGGGACCTGACCTGGTCTGGAGAGGGTGACCTGAAGGGTGAGTCGGCATTACCTAGCTGAAGAGGGGTTCGGCTGCTGGGGAGTATGGCAGGTGGACGAGTCCGTTATACAGGTACAGACGTCCTGAATTAGCATCGCAGAAGAAACTGACAGAAGGCTAGAATGGCTAGACCAGGAATAAGGGTGGTACCGATGAGCTTAGCAGGAAGTTACACCTTGCAATGAGTTTTCTTAAGGAAGATGCTGGCCTTTTGGTAGAATATGACTACTTAACGAGAATACACAATGTTCGTAGGGGATATAATTAACAACTATTACATTTTGGAATGTTGAGTTGGCCTTTCAAGGTCCTTTGAATGGGACGATGAGCCAAAAAGATGCCTGCCTCGAGACCCAAGAAAAAGAAGACTTACTCAGACTCTTATTCTGAATTTCTTGGCTACTCATTTATTTCCCATATTTACCTTAGAGTCACGTTACCAGGTTCTAAGAGAAATCCTATTGGGATTAGATTGGAAGCTACTGAATGTGGTTATTAAAAGCATGACTTTTGGGATTGGCAGATGGGAGTTCTGCCTCCAGCTCATCATCCACTGACCAAGTGACCTTGGTAGAGAAAATCATTTAGCCTTGTTTTCTCATCTGGGAAAAAGGAAAGGTTCAGAAGATTATTGTGGCTATTGAGTGAGAGGGTGCCTCTATTTCACCCCAAAAGCATGGTATTTGTTTCTATTTCCTTTAACCTTTTATGTTTCCCAGTAAAATAGTTTTTAAAATGAAGGTCTGAGTTTCCTCTTGTTAGGAGTTGCTGCTAGTTTTTTTGCTCTTTGTGTACTCAAGTTCCCCCTGTATTCATGTCCTACCTAGGATAGAGCATTGCTTGATGTTGGGGAGTATAGGTTTTGATGCCCAAGGGCATCAGAAATATTTATATACCACCTACCCAGTGGGCGTTTAGTAAACGATTGCTGCGGTTATTGGCAGGTTTGTTGGTGTTAAGGAGAGCCTTTGACTGGGCAAGGCTTACTCTGGTTCTCTTTGCTTCTTCCCTCAGCCCCTGCCCTTCACTGAGAAGGAGCCCAGGTGATGGCAGCCATGCCCCTGAAAGCCTGGTACCAGGTGAGCTGTTAATTCCTCAGGTCGACCTTCAAGAGATGTGATTTGAAGGAAACGATGAGAGGGATGATTCTGGCAAAATTCTTGGAGCCAAAGCAGTAGGAAGATCCCCCGTTGATTCTCTCCAACTGGATGCTGGGGGAAAAGCCAGTGATGGTGAGGGGCTGAGCAGCTAGAAGCCCACCAAGCAATGGCTGGAGAGAGTGTCCTGGCAAGTGGAATTGTAGCCTGTTCCACACTGGAGGGTCCCCAGGTTTAGAGGGATCTGTGAGAATGAGGGACTCGGGCTAGTGGTGTAGGTATCTGGTTGCAAGGTTCTTGGGAAGTGGTGACAGAATGGTGGCAGGAAGAAGACAAGGATGAAGGGGCTTATATCATTTATCCTCCTAACGAGAGAAGTTAGGGCTTCAGAATCAAGGGTACTATATCCTCCTTGAGGTCTGTATTGGCTAAGGCAAGGCTGTGGGCTCTGACAGGAAAACTGCACTAGGACAGGGCACCTGAAGTTAGGAATCCCATCAGGCCTCAGTGGCCTTGACCAGTCACTTAACCTCTTTGCATCTTAATTGACTTCATTTGTAACGTGAACATTCAGGACCTTACATTTGTGGGACAAGGACATTTTTGTTTTGACTCGTATTTCACTCTGAGACTGATGAGTTGCTGGGGACTGCTTTACTTACCATGTTTTTCTCGGGACTTATTTACCCAATAACTTAGCATGAACCATATCCCAAGTGCCAGTCCTGGATTTCTGACATCTGGCAGGTGCCTCTGCCTGACTGTTTCACTGATACACATTGTCTTCCTTGTAGCTCACCCCCCTTCTGATCTTCCGTAAGTACTGGAGAGTCACTGGTCCACCATCTGCAAGTCCTGACCACTCACTGTTTAGATAGCTGCTTGCTTATTGACCCTTCTTCCTGGGTACCGCTTCCAGAACGTCACCAGGTCCGGTTGCTTCTGCCTGCTACCCCTTCCACTTGTCCCACATTTTATATTGCCTTCCTTCAAGGTTTGTTCTTCTCTGGGATTTTGTTTGAGGACCTTCCCAGGTAGTTTCTCTGTGTAGTCTTGTGCCTCCCCCTCACTGTCCACTGGTCACCTGATACATCTCAATTTCCTGAGCTTGGACTTTATCTTCTGGTCCAGGTTCCTCAGATGTAGTGTGCATCACAGTCACCTGGAGGGTCCATTGATGGAACATTTGCTCTTGGATGGGGCCTGCCAGTGTGCCTTTCCAGTAAGTTACCAGGTGCTGCTGCCCTGGGGAACATACTTTGAGAACCACTGTTGTAGTTAGTGGTGACTTATTAAATCAGTTGAGTGGGTCAGGTTGTCATTTAAAGTAGATCATTGTATGTGCTGGCAGAGGATGGACTCAGTGTGGGCCAGCTGGAATTGGAGCTGTTGAAGGTCCCCATCTGTTGAACTGTTGTACGGATTGTACAATAGTGGAGTCGGTTCCAGAAGTATTTTGGCAATAAAATGGGCAGAATTTGATTACCAACTGTCAGAAGTGAGCAGTGATGGGGGCAAGTTAGTCTAGGATGAATCTTAGGGAAAGCAAATTGTCACTTACTGTGTGAATTAGTTTATGTGAATTAGAGAGGGAACCAGTTTAGGGGGGCAGATGATTAGTGTTAGCTGGTGGGTCAGACATGTTGGGTCAGGAGAGAGTGTGAGGCATGGGGACTAGTGGAAGGGGCAGATCTGCACATCAGTCAAGGTGTTAGAAAGTGGGAGGATATTCACCACATGTTCAGGTAACCACATTTGATACTAAAGTCTAAGGTGTGAATAGAGGGCCTAACCAGATGCTGGAGCTTTCTGGGAAGGTAGACTTGGGGCCAGCTGGAAGGGGCAAGGATGGCTACTGAAAAAACCCGGAGGCTTGGTTGGCAAGAGCCATTGCAGATTGTGTCGGGGCTGTAAAGACACAAGGCTAAAAGCGCTACCCAGCAGCAGTTTGATTCCAGAAGCATATTCTCCCAGGAAGACACATCAGGGAGCAGAATGCTAGGCTGCCCAGGCAGCACGGCCCCCTCTGCTGGATGGTCTTGAGCACAGACAGCACAGCAATCAAGCAACAGATGGGGCTGGATGCAAAGGGCTCATCGTGGCAAACCATGACTCTGTTCTTGTTGTGTGGGCTTGAGGTTTGGGGCGCAGTGAGCACTGGGGCAGTGAAGGGGGAGCAGGTAGTCCTGAGATGCCACCTGGAGTGAGTGTCTGGACATTCTGAAGCTAATGGCCCACCCGTAGGTGTAACAGTGAAAGACGGACAGTATTTACAAAGTCAGAGATTTTGCTCTGAGAAGGTGAATAATGGGAGACTGTCCAGGCTTTCTGAAATGTTTTATCATGTTTTATAACAGTGCATTTTATGTTCCACTGGAAGCTCTTCTGAGAAAGAAGTTCCAGGTTGTTGGTTGTAGAAATAGCCATTTAATGGTCTAACACCTGTTCTTTCACCTTTGCTCATTAGCCATCTCCGATAGGACTCCTCCCTCAGACTGTCCCCTGGGTCCCACACTCTGGCTCTGAGGCAGAGGATTGGTTCTGGGACAGCAGGAACCTCTTGTTTCAGGAGGCGGTGACCTTCGAGGACGTGGCTGTGCACTTTACCCAGGCAGAATGGGCTGGCCTCTCTTCCACACAGAGGGCCCTGTACAGAAGTGTGATGCTGGAGAATTGTGGGAACTTGACATCCCTGGGTAAGGCTACTTCCTCCTGGGACTCAGATCTATGCTTTCCTGCTTCCTTCTTTTTCCTTACGGGCTGGGGGTACAGCGTGGAGAAGGAGGGGTTGTCTCTGGTATCCCCGCTGCCTGGTTCAACCCCTGAGCCACACCGGCTGGGCAGTTTTCCTTCTTTTGACATGGCAGACTCAGGGCTGAAAGGTGCCATTTCTCTCCCCTTTTCAGGATACACAGTTCCCAGCTCTGCCCTCATCTCACTTCTGGAGGGAAGGGACTTGCCTTGGGGCCTGGAGGCACAGGATGACCCACCTGCAGAGAGGAGCACACACGTCTGTCAAGGTAAGCGGGGCCAGTTTAAAATGGGCAGCTGTGGGGCTTTGCAGAGTGTATACTTTAAAGTGAACCATGCTCGCAAGGATTTAAATAGGTGGTCTTTCCTAATAGGTAAAATATGAAACCCTTCCCACCAGTTTTAACTCTTACCAAGATAACTATTTCGTCATGCATCTCTTATGCAATTCTTGAATCCCTTGTTGCCTACCTCAGTGGCCCTTCTTCTTTGGACAGGATGGATTTACGTAGGAGCAGGTTTTCAGTACTTGAGTGTGCCAGGCTTTGTTTAAGACTCTAGAGCAGCAGTTGCCAAACTTTTGGACCTCACGACCACCAGTGGTCCGCGGATACCGCTGCTCTAGAGGATACAAGTTGTGGAGACCGAAGTCAAAGCTTTTTAAAAATGTGTATATAGGCAGTGGGCTGGGAGCTCATTTTTAGCAGGAAAGCTTAGAGGAATTACCATTTAGAAGCTCAAGTAATGCGTCTTCAGGGGTAGTGCCATTTGTTCTGAATTTGACCGGTTACAGTGGGTAGCATGTGGAGAAAAAGAAGGTAGACTCTCTGGCCCGAGGAAGGGAATAAAGGGTCCAGTAAATCAGTGTGAAGGACTTTGCAGCATAATGTGCAGGCGAATCACCTGGGGAGCATATTTTAAAACGGGGTTCTTTCTGGAGCCCACCTGCAAGTATTCCTCTGTCCTTTCTAGTAAGTAGTGTAAAAGGACTCAGAACCCAAGCAAGGCTTCCTAGCATCGGGGGCTGGCACAGGGTGTGCCGTGCATCCTGACCCCCTTCCTCAGCTGATGGTGTGGTGAATGCAGTTGGTCTGTCTTACCCACACAGCATTGTGTGGAACATCCAGATGCAGACTTTGTGGTGGACCGGAGGGCTCCATCCTGCATTTACAGCTCAGGAATAGGATATGGGAGAGCAGGCAAAACAACGTGCAGCAGTAGCAGTGACACTGACTTTACCAGCCTCAGTGTCACTACTTAATCTTTGAGCCTGCACCTTCTTTGGTATTTTGTAGGCCTATAAGTGCCTGAGGTCAAAAGATACTAGAACATACGAGGGACAAGTCATTCAAATACAGAGTCTGGAAAAGCTTAGGAAGCAGTCTGGCGTGTCGTGTGTACGTTGACACCCTATTCCACCTCGACAGTTCTCTGCCGAGTGATACTTGGCACTTTTATTGCTAGGAGGCCGATGTGGAGGTTGAACTAGTAATCTCTAAAAGCTCTGTGTTATTTGATGCTTTTTTGTTTCTAGTATAATTCTCAGGTGGCACTTGTGCTTTCTGTTTGTGTCAGATACCGAGACCAACATTGGCAGTGAGCCCACATCAGGACAGGGAATTTCTGAAAGCAGAGCCGCGGTGTTGTCTTGTGGTCTGCAGAAGATTGCTCCTCAGAGAAGCAACTTCCTAGGAACATGTAAACTGGAGAAGCACCAGGGAATCTCCACAAGGAAACATGGTAGAGGAAAGGTTCCCAGAATCCACTGTGATGGGAAACCCTTCCCGTGTGAGGAATGTGGGAAGTGTTTCAGCTATTTTTCTCACTATGTTAGACACCAGAGAATCCACACCGGGGAGAAACCCTTTGAGTGTAATGAGTGTGGAAAAGCCTTCAATGGCAATTCCTCATTGATTCGGCATCAGAGGATCCACACTGGAGAGAAACCCTATCAGTGTGAGGAGTGTGGGAGAGCCTTCAATGATAACGCAAACCTGATGAGGCATCAGAGAATCCACAGTGGGGACCGGCCCTATCACTGCCAGGAGTGTGGGAAAGGCTTCACCAGTAGCTCTGAGTTTGTTATACATCAGAGAATCCACACTGGAGAGAAACCTTACGCGTGTAATGAGTGTGGAAAAGCTTTTGTTGGTAACTCACCGCTACTTCGGCATCAGAAAATTCACAATGGAGAGAAACCCTATGAATGTAATGAATGTGGCAAAAGCTTCGGAAGGACTTCCTATCTTATCCAACATCAGCGTATTCACACAGGGGAAAAGCCTTATTCTTGTAAAATATGTGGGCAAGCCTTCAATTTGCATAAAAAATTAACTCAACACCAGAGAGTCCACAGCGATAAGAAACCCTTTGACTGTGTAGCTTGTGGAAAAGCCTTCAGTGCTCAGGAACAACTAAAAAGGCATCTGAAGACCCATATTCAAGAGTCTTCCTACGTATGTGATGAGTGTGGAAAAGTCTACACTAGCAAAAGGAGTCTTCTACAGCATCAAAGAGCCCATACTGGAAAGAAACCCAGTGGGTGTGTCAAGTATGAAAAGACCTTTAGGACTTCTTCCCAGCTAGGTGACCTTGAGCATGTCCACCCCGGAGAGAAACCTGCCCTGGACATTTGTCGTTTTGGCCTCCCAGAGTTTTTTACCCCCTTTGACTGGTAGTATATTCAATTCCCTTTGGGACTCCATCTTCTACTCAAGAGTAGAATGTGTGACACAGACCTGCCTTAGCCATCGTTGTTGGTCAGTAGGTGACCCAAGATGGTCCAATTAGAGTTCCAGGATGTGGCCAGACTTAACAGGAAGAAATACTGTTCTTCCTTAGTCTTAAAGCTCAGAGGAATTCCTGGATTATTGTGGAAGCTGAAAATAGAGTCAATACAACAGGAAAAAAAAAGAGTTGGGGAGTAATCAGCCTTGACAATTCCATTTGAACAACTACATTAAACTATGTCTGAAGCTAGAAATGCATCTGGGCTTTTGAATTCTAGTAACCAATAAATTCAGTTTTGTTTTTCTCAAGCAAGTTTGAGTTAAGTTTTCTTTCCTTGGAACGGTGCCTTAACAGTCTAACAATTATCCTATATAATAAAAGGCTAACATGCAAATCGACCAAACGGTTGAACAACCATTCGCTATGATGCACACTGACCACCAGGGAGCAGATGCTCAATGCAGGAGCTGCCCCCTGGTGGTCAGTGTGCTCCCACAGGGGAGCGCCGTTCAGCCAGAAGCAGGGCTCAGGGCTAGCAAGCACAGTGGTGGTGGCGAGCCGCGGCAGTTGGATATACACCAAGGACTCCCAGACTGTGAGAGGGCACAGGCAGGGCTGAGGGACCTCCTGGAGTTAACGAATTTCGTGCACCGGGCCTCTAGTTTTTAATAATTGTTATTAAAGGAGAAATGTTTTGTGTGTATGATGTATGGGAAAGTCTTCAGCTATGTCCCAGCAGCCCTGGTAACTGTAAGAAGAACAGGAAACCCATTGGAACATGGGATCCCAGGGTGCATCAGGACAGCACCAGGGGATGGAAGTTCTAACAGCTCAAGCTCTGTGTCAGACGTTTAGTCTTCTTATAAAACTCTCAGTGAGTCCATTCTCAAGAAAAGTCTTAACTATGTAACCAAATGCTATCAAAACAAAAGACTTCAATTTTGTTTTCTCAGTTTTTATTTGGAATGGATACTATTCTAGGCACCAGACTGGTAAATGCCAGGCTATTGTAGCTTTTCCAGCTGGGTGTTTGTCTTGAACAGCATGCCCATCCTTCCCTTTGATCTAGAGCAGTGGTTCTCAACCTTCCCAATGCCGCAACCCTTTAATACAGTTCCTCATGTTGTGGTGACCCCCAACCATAAAATTATTTTTGTGACTACTTCATAACTGTAATTTTGTGACTGTTATGAATCGTCATGTAAATATTTGATACGCAGGATGTATTTTCATTGTTACAAATTGAACATAATTAAAGCATAGTGATTAATCACAAAAACAATATGTAATTATATATGTGTTTTCCGATGGTCTTAGGCGACCCCTATGAAAGGGTCGTTTGACCCCCAAAGGGGTCGCGACCCACGGGTTGAGAACCGCTGATCGAGACTCTGTTACCGGATAAAAAGGAAAGAACAGAGGTTGGCAGGCGGTGGTCTCTGCTTCTGCATGCCTTCTGTAGAACTTCTGTAACCTGGTGTGTACCTATCTTAGGAATCGGGGCTTCATGATTACTGAGGAGGTCTTATTTTCTTACCTACAAAATTAGGTGACTTTTTTGCAATCCACCATTTGGGGTCAGCATTTCTGTGACACTGATCTGCTAATTTCTTCCTTAGACAAGCCTTTATTCCTAGCTAAAGCTCTATTTTCTGAGCCTAGGAAGAAGTGGAAATCTTCATTGCCAAGAGCAACATAGTCCCCAGCAATCACTGCCCAATTGTGGGACCATTTTCCTATCTGAATGAGAGAAGCCATGTAAATTGCACAGGATCAGGGCAAAGCAGAGAGGGCTCCTAGCAATGGTCAGAGATCCCAGGTATAGGACATATCCTCACTCCAGTGCCAGAAATAAAGAAGGGTCTTGCCCTGGAGTTGGAGTTGGACCTGGGGTCTTTGGATTACGTCAACAACAAACTACATACCTCCTTGGTGCCAGGCCTTGTACTTTATCTGAGGGTAATGGTGTTGAACGAGGCAGCTATAGTCCCTGCTCTCTGGAGTGATCAGAGAAAACATGTTTAAATAAACTGTCACCGTTAAATAAGCACAAATGTACTAAGCACTGAAGTACAGAACGTTACAATGCCTCATAACTGACCAGTCTCCCTTTTACTAGATGATCAGGGAAGGCTTGCTTTCCAAGGGAAATGGGATTTAGCTGATACCAAGTAACAGTCAAGACCGAGGTGGGAATGGGAAGGGAAAGGCATGGTAGGTATAGAAAACAGCATGTTCAGCAAGTGGGGCTGAAGTGGAGATGGGGAGAATGGGAGTGCTAAGAGGCTGGAGAAGTGAGTGCAGGCCTCCAACCACCTTCCAGTGCAGGAAAGGAAGGGATCAGAGCTGGAACGAGAAAGGCCAACACTGTCAGACTTGGGAGGGACCCTGCGGGTGAGTGGTGCAATCCAAGGGCTTATTTTGGAATTTTATGGGGGTGTTTTTGTTACAGTGTTTGGTGGTAACCAGGAGTGTCACAAATCCTGCAATGCACAGGATGGTTCTCCCTACTGAAAAAGTTTTCACAGCCCTAGTCAGTTTGGCTCAATGGATAAAGCCTCAGCCTGCAGACGGAAGGGTTCTGGGTTCAATTCCAGTCAAGGGCCTGTCCCTTGGCTGCAGGCTCCATCCTGGGGCCTGGCCCTGGTCAGGTGAACGTGGAAGGTAATGAGTCCATGTTTCTCTGTCTATCCCAAAGCTTCCACACTATATCTATATCTATATCTATATCTCTATCTCAATGGAAAAATAACCTTGGGTGAGGATTAACAAAACAAAAAAAAGTTTTCACAGACATTGGTCTTGCTGGACATTCATGGAGGTAAAAACTGCTTCTAAAATACCTGAATAGAATTTGTTTTTAAGGTAAACACAACGTGGTTTTGCACAGTTTTAACATTTGCTGATTCTCTAGGAATATGATCAAGACAAGATTGTCCTGTGTTTTGTTTAAACTTGACCAAAAGGGTTCACCATTTTGGATCCCACCTTGTGATTTCTGAGACATCAGTATAAGACACAGCATGTGGCTGTGGCATTCAGGCATCCTAAGTGCGAAGGCAAATATCTGGCCACTTCCTTAGGTCTCCTACACCAGCAGTCATGACCAAACCTTTACATATCGAAATGTGTTTGCAATTACAAATCATTTTCCTTTTATTTCTCCTTTATCTCAGTTAAGACATGACATTAGTTTTTAAAATGTAAATTGTTTATATTGTCTATGCTTTTCTAAGTGTTATCTATGATTTTCATGACAAGAGAATAAACTGGTCACCAGGAAATGCTTGTTACAAAAAGAGTGGCCTTGGTTTTGATACCGTGTCACCCACTGAAACCAGTCCGTAGACTCCCAAACCTGGTTGCACCGCAGCTTTACTAAGACACAGATCCCCGGCATCACCCCGAAGAGCAAACGCTCCGGGAACGAGACCCAAGGGGAAAGGGACAAAGAGCGCCCGACTCCGGGGCTCTGAGGTTTGGAGCGCAGGGGGCGGGGCCGGGGCACCACCGAGAGGGAGCGACGGCAGTCCTAGAGGGGCTCGGCCGCAGCCTAGTGACGCACTTCCGGTCTCCCCGCGGAGCCGCGAGCAGCGGAGCTGAGTCCGCGAGCAGCGGAGGTGAGTGGCACTGTGGATGGTGGTTGGTACCCCGGCTCTTTGTGCGTTAGGGGTGCCCTTCCGCCCGGGTAGGAGCTGGGTTGCCCACCCCTGGAGCAGGGAGCCGGTCGGCGGCCCCTCCCTGACTCCCGCTTTGAACCTGGCGGCCGAAGACGTTCCGTCCCGTGGGCAGCGAAGCCCCAAACAGTTGGGGAGAGACGCTGCTGACTTTCGGGAAGGTGTGTCGGAGCAGCCGGCGGGGGGGATGTTTGCCGGGGCGAAGCGGCCCGAAGGGTAGTCACGAGTCCTTTGACACGTTGAAGTCACGCAGGCGCCTTCACCAAGGGTGGGTTGCGTGCGCTCCGGCTCCTGACATGGGGTCGTGCAGCAAAGCCCCGGGGAGGAGCAGAAGAGGCAGGGCCCCTCCGCCCGCCCGAGAGCAGAAGAAGCCGGCGTTTGGAAGGCGCAGTCCGCTTACCGGAGCGGTGTCCGTTCCCAGAGGTAACCGCGCCTTACGCTCCATCTGGGGATGACAGCGGCCCGGGAAGGATTGCTACAATGTAACTAGCGACTTGTTCAGGCCTAGAAGACACTTAATTCCGGCATTGTAATTCATACCCGTATGGGAAGCAAGTTTGCTGATGTCAACGAATAAAGATCTGAGGCCATGAAGCAAGTTTATTTGGGGTCTTCAAGGACTCGAATCCAAGAGAAGCGGGTTCAGGTAACAGCCCAAACTAAGCTCTGGAGAGAACGAAGAAAGGCAGGGTCTATAAAGGCGCAAATCACAAAATGTAATTCTTTCATGCAATTGAGGTATTGCCGGCGAGGTTAACAGGGTTTGGTTAGTTCCAACGTGGAAACGAGGGAGGTGAGAACCAAGGAAGTAAATTCCATGTATGTCCATGTAGCAGTTGTTCTAAGATGTGTATGATTCCCGCATGTTTATGTCTCTGCCTTGAGCGGAGTTTAGCACCAGGTTTTGTGTTTTGTTTGTTGTAGTGTAACAACAGGACTAGCAACAGTAAAAGGAGCTCTGGAAACAGAGGCACAACGTGTGCGTAGGCCCCACTTCCTTAATAGCCTCCTGACGCTATTAAGGTGACTCAGGAATGTTTATTACATTTTAGTTTTCCCCATAGTCACTAGAGGGCGGCATTCGAGTGCAGGTCTTTATAGCCTTAGAGCATCTAGTTAAAATACTGTTTTCCAAAGTTACCTAGTTCTTGTCTTTCCCACCATTTCAGTGTGGGCAGGTGACTCGATTGCAGGATAATTAGGCTCATTTGATGTTGTTTGTGTTCCTTTTTTGGATCATCACCACCGTCCCATCCTGGTTGGTTGATTTTAAATATTTATGTGTATTTATTTATTTGTTTATGTGAAACATGACTCTGGTTATAAAAGAACAAAAGGCACACTCAGAGACAGGACACTCCCTCCTCCTCCCTCCTACCCAGTTTCCTTCCATCCTGTTCCCATTCCAGGGTTCCTTTCACCCACTTCCCACCCACACCTGGTGTAACCACTCTCCTTTGTTTCTGGTTTATTCTTCCATTTCTTTTTGTATAAATGACCAGACACATATTTTCTTATAGTCCTGTTTTTGCACTTTGTTTTTTTTTTAAATTTTATTTGACAAAATACTTTGAAAATCACCCATATCATAGAGATAATTATCTTTTTTTAAAAATGCCATTCACGTATACACAAGACTGCTTCTACTATGACGGTTAAGAAGCATAGAAAATGAGCAGCCATGAACACACCACCCCATTGAGGAGGAGAACATTACCAGTACTGCTGCATCTGTCTGTGTGCTCAGCCCCAACCCAACTCCCAGCATCCCACCCCTAGAAGTAACAACTGTTTTAAATTTTGTGTTAATGTAGCCTTGCCTGTTTTTAAAAAACATTTTGTCACATATGCGTGTATATGTAAATAATGTGTTTAGTTTGCTTTTGAGCTTTGTGAAAACGACAGCATAGAGTCTATAGTCATATGTTCCTAAATTCGTCCATGTTGTTGTGAGTCATTCATTTTTGCTGCTGGGCAGTTGTGTTAACGCTACCCAACTCAAGGGGTTCACTGCTTAGGGCAGGGGTGGGCAAACTTTTTGACTCGAGGGCCACAATGGGTTCTTAAACTGGACCAGAGGGCTGGAACAAAAGCATGGATGGAGTGTTTGTGTGAAGTAATATAAATTCAAAGTAAACATCATTACATAAAAGGGTACGGTCTTTTGTTTTTTAGTTTTATTCATTTCAAACGGGCCGGATTCCGGCCTGCGGGCCATAGTTTGCCCACGGCTGGCTTAGGGGGTTCTAGTCAAGGAGACATGGTTGTTGTTAGGTAGTTTTATTTACTCACAGCAAGTAAAGGAGACCACAGAGTCACATCCAAATCTGCTTCCTGGAAGAGAGGCTTAGCCATTGCTTTATGCACTGTTTGGTCAATTACATGTTGATTTCTTTGCAGTTGGCTAAACTTACCTGGATTTGGTTAATTGCATGTTGAGTTCTTTCTTTTTGGGGGGGAGGGGGTGGAGTTGGCTAAACTCTTGGATTGAGTGGTCAAGCTCATCCTGAGTGGATAAGCCGCATCTGCAAAATACTGTGCTACATTTTCACACTTAACAAGATCTGCCCAGACCTTGAGACTCTTGTCCCATCTAACATTGGCGTGATCAAAAGATTGGGAAACTTATTTTGCTCTTCTCTGCTACAGTTTAAATAGTGTTAGAATTACTCATTTCTTCAAGATTTGAAAAGATTTACCTATGATATATATGGGCACAGTACTTAATGAGTACACTCTTTACTGGCTATCTCAGTTTGATTAGGTAAAAGTAATCATGGATTACAGAGAAAAACCTATATAATAAAATTGGTAGAGTTGATTCATTAAATTCATATAGAATTATATGTTCTTCCATCATATACTCTTTTAAGCATCTATAGACTATTTTTTAAATGGGCATTTCAGCTATTAATCCTCAAACATTTGTAAAGCAGAAATAAGTGTATTGGACTATTCAGACACCATCAGTAAAGCCAGAAATTATGAACAGAGAAGAAATTAACAACATACTATCCTAAACAATTCTTTGGTCAGAGACTAAACACCAGCTATCAAATAGTAATTAAAACATGACATAAAACCTCTGGTATGTGGCTAATTGTGTATTCAGAGGAAAATTTATGGCCTTATAGGTTTTAGTTGCCAAATAGGAAAGTATGGAAATAAATGAATAAGCCATGCTCCCCTAAGAAGTTTGAAAAAGCCTTTATAGTCTAGTTTTCCCCAAAAGCAGAACAAAAGGCAAAGATTTGTGTGCCGGTGATTCATCTGGGAATGTAGTCCCGGGGCAGAGTGAAAGATGGCCTGGCACAGAGGGGAAGGAGAGCGGTACCAGGGTGCTCTGTCAGTGTGGCCCTTCTCCATCTGATTGCTGCTCTGTCTTACAGGATCTTGGAGGAGCTTTGGAATCTCGTTTGGGGGTCTAAAGGGGAAAACATTTATCCATTGACCTCTGTCCCCTATTGGTCAAGGGTGGCACCACAGGCATTAACTCTTCTGCACTTTACGGACCAGCAAGTGTCCGCAGGTTTCCGCAGGGGCCCGTACAGGACAGCAGAGAAGCCCAGGGCAGGAGCCAGGCATCGGTGGTGTAGATCCTTGCAGAGGCATTGGCAGGCTGCACTTGCACAAAGCTGAATAAGCTTCTGGAACAGGACTAAGTGTGAGACAAGGAATGGAGTGGTGCGTAAGGTATCTCTTACAGAGCCTAAGAAACAGAGCTTAATGAATTAAAATCAATTAGGGGAAAAACAAAAACAAACAGCGTTCTAAATAAATTAAAAAGCTGGTTCACTGAAAATAAAACAACATTCAAATAAATAAACCACTGCTCAGCCTTCTTTATTAATCTGTTTGGGATGCCATAACAAAATGCCATCGACTGTGTGGCTTTAACAACAGGAACCTAATCTTATAGTTCTGGAGACTGCAAGTCCAAGATGAAGGAGCTGCTGATTTGTTCTTAGTGAGGGCTCTCTCCTGGGGTTTCAGGTGGCTGCCTTCTCACTGTGTGCTCACATGGCAAAGATGGTGAGCTTTGGAGTCTGTCCTTCCCTCCCTCCCTCCCTCCCTCCCTCCCTCCGTAGCAGTATGGTTTATTGAGCTTAATACAGGCGCTGGGACTTGCCCCTGGTGCTCTTCATGTACAAAGCCCGAACATTCTGCCAGTTCTTTTTGAGCAGTGACACCAAGAAATGGACAGCTAAGTGGATGTCGCACACATCTCATCACCTGTCATCTTCACGTGGCCAACAGCCGCTGCCAGACACGGCACCTCCTGCATCTGGAACTTGATTGCGGATTTTACCTCCTCAGCTTTGGCCACCATGTCCTCATTGTGGGTCAACAAGGACGGGAACTTGCCAGCCTTATTCAGGCCCAGGCCCAGGATTCATGGGATTTGCTTGATCAGAGACTCTGAAGCCAGAAAGGC